AATAATGAATAAACTTTAATTTTGATAGACAACGAGAATTATAATTTCGTCTATTATAATCAAACAACTACATCAATATTCGTAATACATCCAATTATTTATGCTGCAAAGTTCTACCTTTAAGTTGTTCATGATTGCTTTTGTTTTGGGTAACAATGCAAATATATGTAACTAAGATACTGAAAAGGAGACTTGAAAACAATGCAACTTTCTCATTGATATGCAGCTGATTAGCAAACTACACCCAAATGAGTATTGGTAAGTTTAGTTTCAATCTTAAAAGTAAACAAGATTTTTCGTTTAACAGTGAAAACCGTAAATAGTAAAGCCATTTTTTTATTACTAACAGTATTGCATGTACAATTCGACAGTAATATATAATGATATAGGTGCCGACTACGAAACTTAAGGTCGTAGGCTCATACAAACACAAGCATTCTAAGCTTAACTGTAGTGGAATTGGAAACCATAAATAATAGTAGCTTTAACAACACTGCTAGTATTTTATTTACAAAGGAGAAAAATGTATTAAAGCGAAGTCTTGAGTGAAAAGGTGTGATCGTGTGATGGCGGTGTAAAAATATCCACTACTCCATATCGTCGTAAGAAGCGACAGTAGGAAACAAACAAGGATATGGGCAGCAGTGTCTTCTTAATAATAACTAAAAATAAAATAAAATAAAACTGTGGTTGCCCACTCGCCTGCCAAGTGTGGCATTAATAACGTTATGGGGGGATGATCTATGAAGAAGATGGAATGTTCAGCAGTGGGCTTTAGAAAGATAGTAAAAGTAACGAGGTGAAAAATTTTTAACGAGTTAGTATATACGTATTACGTCCGTAAATAGGGAAAAATTTAATTTAGTTAAAATTAAATTGAAATATATAAAAACTGAAAGACTTAAAATATTTTGTTCGAAGTAATAACGTTTCATACATTATTTAAAATATTAATCTCAAATACAAAAGTTTAAGTGAGAGCGAGGGAATTATAGGGTCATCAGTGGCTAGATGAGGAGGTGTGACGATAAAGGAAAAATTCAATTTGAATAAAAAATTAAATCCGAAGCAAAAATAATAAATTAAGTAGGTGCCAACACGACACTACGACACATAAATCGATAAGGACAAGACAAGGCTTCAGATAGCGAAACTATTTCATTCTTTTTACAGCTAGTAGTGATTGCGACTTTGCTCGCTTCTTGATTGGGATTTTGTTAACAATTTTATTGGTTTTATTTTTGCGCGGAACCCTAATACTTTTTCTTAAATAAAAGTACAGTCCGAATGGATAAAGAATAGGACTAGAAATGGCAGTTCGTCGAGCCCATACCGTCAACGTGCACAATACCAATAGCAAAAACCCACTAATAACGGTATAACGTTATATTATTAAGTTAATTGAAAATTTTCTATTAATGGGAAAGTATTTGAAAAGAATTGTATTGTACATTATTGTACATTGATTTTAAAATAACATTTGTAACTAGTGATACGCTCTGACTTCACCTGGATGAGATCTTTTAGTGTGGCGTTATTTAGACTTAAGGTAATCATTAAAGACCATATATTTTATCTTATCAATATTTCTATTTTAATGGTCTCTAAATTTTTTGGATAAAATTTAGTCTAGATCACTCCTGGTATTTCTTTCTATTTTGTCGTGAAATTTTATTGCAATCGATTTAACTTAGAAAATTTTAAAATTGGTTAATCATGTCTCAATAGCATGTATATTTTTTATACAAAAAGTAATAATTTAGGTATTTTGTTATCATTGATTACTATGACAAGCTATAGAGCTTACGAAACACGCATAACACAACGCATTTTTTGCAGTCTTTACCGACGGGTGCGAGTGTGTGCGAGCTAGAGGAGAATAGTGGCGTCGCCATTTTCAATCCCATTCTTTAATCGCACGGGTAGTATAGGCTGTCAACTTCGTGCAGTCCGCGCCCGCGGGGTTACAGGGGTTGGCAAGGACGAGGTAAAACGGTCTTAAAGGGGAAGCGAACGGTATGCGGGAGGGCGAGCGAGCACGCCGCGTGCTCAGGAGCGCCAGTCGCCGGTGGTCGCTTGCAACGGTTACTTGTATACACACGAGATTACGATCCGAAGATGATTTGGCAAAAACCGTGTCTGCAGCACAGGGCTCTCGGAAAGAACAATAAGAAGAATTGTCAGTGAAAAAAATACAATGGATGACACTGCAGGTCCTTCCAAGTTCAAATCTCCCAGAAAAATCTTGTTTCCCGAAAAGCGAATTGAAGTAGATAATTTCATTTTAGAAGTGATACGACGTAGTGTGCCAGCTCTAAAGTGTAAAGAAATTATTAAATTACTTTCTTATTTAGAATAAATATTATTATTGTTATTTATATTTTCTACGTTTTCTCAGTTTGTTTTTAACAAAACTGGATTAATGGTTATTACCACGGGACAAAGCCAAGTGGATACCAAGTGCCAAGCCAAGTGGATATAATTGAATATATGTTAGTTTTGGTAAATCTAAAGTTTTTAATGATTGATGAAGCGCTTTTGGTATTACACCAGTTGTAGAGAGGACTATAGGGACTATAATGGCGTTATGCAAATTCCACATTCTAATAATTTCATGTTTTAATTCAGTGTACTTGGAAATTTTTTCATTAATTGTTGTCTGTAAGTTATGCGAATTAGGTATAGCAATGTCAATAATAAGAGCACATTTATTCGCTTTATCTATTAATGTTATATCCGGTCTATTAAAGTGTATTGTTTTGTCAGTAAGTATAGCTCTGTCAAAATACATTTTGTGAGTGGTATTTTCAAGGACTATTTCTGGTTTATATTTATAGTATACTTGAGTTGGCTGGTTAGTTAATTTATACTTAAAGGCAAGTTTTTGGTGAATGATATTGGCTACTTGATCGTGCCGATACTTATAGTCCGTCTGAACAATCGCTTTACAGGCACCAGTGATGTGTTGAATTGTTTCTGAAGCATTACAACAGCGTCTACATGTGTCGGTATTAAAAATTTTTATTTTAATAATATGCTTTTGATAATTGCGTGTCTCTATGATTTGGTCCTGAATTGCGCACATAAAACCCTCAGTCTCAGGGAAAAGCTCACCACGTTGAAGCCATGCGTTCGACGCTAATTTGTCTACGGTAGGTTGGTTCAAATCATGGCGATGTCTTCCATGTAGAGCCTTTTGGGTCCATATGTCAATTTTTGTGTTGTTATCTGTAAGTAACTCATTTTTTTGCAATGTTTTATCATGCATATTAAGCGGTGTCAATTTATGATCATTCTGTACTATGGCATTGTGTAGTGATGATATTGCTGTTTTATCATAAAAGTAATTTCTGAGTGTAGTTATTTGTCTGTTATGTAAGTTAACTATGTCTATTACCCCTCTTTCTCCTTCATTTCGTGGCAATGTTAGTCTTTGTATGCATGATCTTGGATGGTGTTTACGGTGCCTCGTAAGAGATGTATTTATTTCGCGTTGTAGCTTTTTTAGTTCAGTTTTGGACCAGTGTATTATGCCAAAGGAATAAGTTAGTATGGGAATTGCAAACGTGTTAATAGCTTTAAATATATTCTTAGAATTTAATTGAGATGTTAATACTAAACGAAGTCTATATCGAAACTGATCTGTTAATGTATTTTTAATTTCTTTATGATGTATTTGTTTAGACTGATTATATCCTAAATACTTATACACTCCATTTTCCTCTAAAGATTTGATTTGCTGTCCTGTTTGCAACTGATAGTTATGTTCATAATACTGTCCAGCTCTTACTGAATTAATGTTGCACTTATCAATACCAAATTCTATTCCTATATCTCGTGAAAATTTTTCCGTTAATATAACTAATTATTATTATTCGACGATTAATCTTTTATTTTCCCGATTTTCGTTCTACTTTTGGCGTGCATTACATTTTATACTTGTACTAGATTTTGCAAATCTTCCTCATGAACCACTCCGTCATAAAAAAGTAAAAGTGACAGGTGACAGCTATCTTAAATTTTAATTAAATATTTTAATTAAAATAATATATTTTTGTAATATATATTTCCTACGGCGGTTAACAACGTGCCTGCGTGGTGTGCCATGCTTTAATTGCAGGACATTCATTGGTGTACTCTGATCACCATGGATGAAAATCAAATTTCAGAAGAGGAGGTGATGAATTCTATTCTAATTGAAAACAATGAACAGGAAACGGAGATTTGTTTACCAGAGAAATCCGCTCAATGTCAAGCAATGATTTACGATGAGGTCAGACCTATTAGTAGTAAGAGACGCAGGGAAGAGGATGAGGAAGAAAGGTGGATTACGGTTTCAAGAAATGGGAAGAGAGTGGGACAGAAAGTAGATGTATATATTAATTGCTTCGAAAAATTACCTAAACAGTTTGCACTTGCAAAACTTTTAAAAACCAATAACATTAAGCATATCAGCCATGTGAAATATGTGAACGCGTATAAAGTATTTGTGCAGTTTGAATGTGCAGAAAGTGCTGATGAGCTGATGAACTGTACACCTTTGAAGGAGTTAGGATGGAGATTTCAAAAGCCATTAGAGGTTGCTTTTTCATACGGTGTCATTAAGGATATTGAGCTGGAGATGACCGAAAAATAAATACTGGAGGTAATTTCAAGTGATTGCGAGCTAATAGGTGTAAAGCGCTTAAAGCGCAGAAAAACGGATGGAAAGGGATGGGAAGATAGTGAATCAATACGGTTGCAATTTAAGGGCTCATCGTTGCCAGCATCAGTATACATTTACGGTATGAAGATTAACGTCGACTCCTATGTCTTTCCAGTCACTCAATGTTCAAGGTGTTGGAGGTTCGGTCATAGCCTACATGTCTGCCCCTCTAAAAAGATTGTATGCCCTAAGTTTGGAAAGGGGCATGCTAATTGTGAGATAACAACATTTAGATGTATTAACTGTATCGGGATTCACATGTCGTTGGATAGATCTTGTCCTATATTGGAGTTTAATGGCTGAATTCAATTGCTCATATAAAAAGGCCTTACAAATATATATTCCTCCAGCACCTCAACCTGTACAAGTAGAACAGGAAACAACTATATTAAAGACGGCTCAAAGACATCTCAACCCAAATACACCTTTATATAATAATATACCTGAACCCATACCTGTGTTTATCTCACAAAACGAAGATGGGGTAATGTCTTACGCGAACGTTACTCGCTCTGTACCGCGCTTACACCCTGAAGTTACTTCTAACACTAAATCAATACCATTATCATCACAATCGGGTACTATGGAGATTTCGCAAACTTTACAAGAAAAAACTATAAGTACAAAGAGAAAAAGGAAAAAGAAGCAAAATCAGAATGAAGTGTTTGAAAACGATATATCTACAGAATCAGAAGAAGTAATTAATAATAATGATGATGATATAGAAAGTGAGCTCCAATCAAGAAAAGAGAAAAAAGAGAGAAGAGAGAGGCTTAAATCAACTTCTAATTTTAGGCAATTACTTTTTAAGTTATATGCTATATTTACAAATTCACAAGAACAACTTAAGAACAAAATGATTCAAGGAATGTCATTAATTATTGAATGGTTAGTACCGATGGTGGCTCAGTGCATTTGGGATTTGCCTTTTAAAAGCTTTTTTAGTCAATAATACAACATAAAAATTTTTCAGTTGAACTCACAAAGTATTAGGCCCAAACGCACGGAATTCGACCAGCTGTTAAATAGCGAGAAAATTCATATTGCTACCATTTGTTAGACATGGTTAAATGCTGAAGTTATGCTTAACATAAGTGGTTACAATATTTACCGCAAGGACCGAGATGATTCGTATGGTGGGGTTGCTATTTGTTCACACAAGTCTTTAAAGACTCGACTGATATCTATCCAAATTTCTAATCCCGGAATTGGAATAATTTGTATTAAGATTTTTAACTGTACACATATAGATTACATACTCTCTATATATTATCCACCTACCATACGAACTTCTCAGATAGAGGATGAAATATTTTCTTTTAAAACTAAAAAAAAAACATTGATTCTTGGGGACTTTAATGGGCATCATCCAAGCTGGTCTTGTAAGGCTGATTTAAGAGGCACGAATATTTTTGACTCTTTAATTGAAAATAATTTTGTTTCCTTGAATGATGGCACAGCTACTCGCGTTAAATTAGGGAACGGAATAGTACAGGAGTCATCCCCTGACATTTCTATTGTTTCTTCGGATTTAGCGTTGCAGTTAGATTGGAAGGTTACTAATGACTCATTGGGTAGTGATCATTTAATTGTTAAGATTAATTTATCATATCACAATAATCACCATCAATTTCTAAAGAAAAGGAACTATAAGAAAGCAAACTGGGATGGATACAGGTCGTATTTAGAATATAAATTTTCAAGTTTTGCTTTTATCAATAATGATCCGCAGAAAAATTACGATTTATTTCTTAATATGGTCAATGAAGCCGCTGATGCTCATATTCCTTTTTACAGAACCAGCCAAGATCCCTCACAACATTTTCTCCTAAAGTTTATTGGAATACTAACTTATCTAAATCTGTTGCAGAAAGGCGCCTAGCTCTTGCTTTATTTAGGAAAAACCCTACTCCTGATAACTTAGATAAATTAAAAGATAAAATTAGGATTCCACAACTACTAATTAGAAAGGCAGCTAGAAAATCTTTCTCTAATTTTTGCTCTTCGATTGATGAGTCTATTACTGTACACGACATGTGGCAAAAAATGAAATGGTTAAAAGGTTATGGGTGTTCTAATACAAATAGGAGTTATGTTGATCTAACAATTGCAAATGAACTTTTACACAGTTTGACTCCAGAATTTGTTTGTCCAAAAGACCCTGCTTTTTCATCTCGTAACACTGAAATTGACTCTCCTTTTTCAATGAGCAAACCAACGTGCTGTTTTAAAACAAAAGATACTTCTCCAGGTGTGGATAATATATCATATTCCATGATCAAACATCTTCCCAAAATCGCATGTATTATTTTACTCAAACTACTTAATTTGTTTTACTCCCTAGGCTTTGTACCATTCCAATGACGAGAAATACGTATTATACCAATCCCAAAAACAGGGCGTGACACTTCAACTTTATCATAACTTCGACCTATTTCACTTATGTCTTGCCTGAGTAAAATCTTCCATGCTATGTTAAGAAATAAATTGGAATGGTTGATGGAAAATGAAAATCTATTTTACGAGGAGACTACTGGATTTAGGAAAACAAAATCATGCCTGCATAATCTTAGTAATTTAGTCAGTAGAATACAATTGGGATTTTCAAAAGATCAAATCACAATAGGTTGCTTTATTGATGTAGAGATTGCGTACAATAACGTAGATATTACGGCTATGTTAGTAAATTTGGATCGATTAGGTGCTGATTCAAAAGTTTTAGTGAATATTTATGGACCTTCTTAAAGGAACGATACTTAAGTGTCCAGGTGGACAATGTTATTTTATCTAGATCTACAGGTCGAGGAATTACTCAGGGTGACCCTATCGCTCCACTACTATTTAATATTGCAACTATTCATATTTGTAAACAAATTAATCCTAATGTATGTATTTCCCAGTATGCTGATGATTATGTGTTAGATACTTCCGGTAAAAATTTAAATGATACTTCCACTGAATTACAATTGTCCTTAAATAAAATGTATGGTTTGCTCATAGATTTAGGTTTGGAGATTTCAATGACTAAAACAAAGATCTGTATTTTTAAAAAAGGTATATGTAGGCAAGCTATTTCAGTAAGTGTTAATGATAATAAAATAGAAGTAGTGAACACAGTCAAGTATTTAGGGATGTGGCTAGATCGGTCTTTAAAATGGAATAAACATATTACGGTGTTAACGAACAAAATTTCTAGATTTTTAAACATATTCAAAGTTTTAGTAGGACCTGGTTGGGGAATACATCCCAAGCATTTAAGAAGACTATATATTGCCGTTATAAGAAGTAGGCTAGATTATGGGAGTTATTTATTCGATAACAGCTGTCAAAAGTATTTAAGTAAGTTAGACAAAATACAAAATCAGGCATTACGAGTAATCGGAGGATTCATTAAAACTACTCCTATACATACAATGGAGAGTGAGCTATGTCTACCTCCACTAAATGTACGAAGAACATTTTTGGCAGGGAAATTCATCTTAAAAGCTAAATCAATAAGAAATAACATCACACTAAAAATATTGAATGAATTAGCACATTTTAGAAACAATAAATATTGGCGTAATAAAAAGAAACCTTTACTATTATATGTTTATGATCACATCGTTGATAGTATATGATTCACAGTAGTCAAAAATTAGAAATGTTTAATATAAGTACATGGGTCAGTAACATAGGTTTAAATAACATAGTTAATTTAAATATTCCGTGTATTGCACAAGATAAACGAAATTACAAAAATTTTAGTCTAAAATTTTAGTCTAAAAGTATGTTTGGACTACATTAATAGGCAGTATGAAAATTATTATAAAATATTTACAGACGGCTCTAAAGATTCAGGCGGAATCGGTGCAGCCTTTTTTGACCCACGATATAATCTTAGCTTACAATTTAAGATAGATAGTAGTATATGCATCATGGAGGCTGAGCTAGTAGCAATATGTGAAGTACTGTCATACGCTGCATCACTATCACAAGATAATATTGTGATATTGACAGACTCAAGAAGCGCACTTCAACACTTGGCTCGGTGCACCTTGGGTACACAAGGCACACCGATAGCCTACACCGTTCTGGATACTATACATGGTTTAACATCCAGGTCGAAATCGATAAAGTTGCAGTGGATTCCGTCTCATTGCGGCGTGGAATATAATGAGCGAGTAGATATCTTGGCTAGACAGGCTATTACGGATGGTATCGAATACAACATGTTACCCCATTACACTGATTGTATTTGTATTATAAAAAAGGCTATGTTACAACCTATGGAAAGAATATTTCGATTTACGTTGAAAAGAAAAGGGTATTTGGTACAAGACGGTACAGTCACATCCGCCTAAAATACCATGGATTGATAACCATAAGCTATCGCGACAGGATGCAGTAGTGATAATGAGGCTGCGTACTGGACACATTCCATCTAGAAAGTTTGCATTCCTTTTAAAAAAGGTCCAGTCACCGAACTGTGATCAATGCGGTGTTCCAGACGACCTAATGCATGTCTTGATGGATTGTGCCCACAAAGCTGCCTTTCGTAATGAGAAATGCCACCACATTTTAAAAGATTTCGATGATTGTAATATAATTTTAGCTAAGCCACATTCCGACGATATAAAAATATTAGTCAAGCTTTACAAGGTGAAGGTCTCGGATCGATCACTCATTTCTCAATGTGATTGATCTGGGAACTTTTCATTTTTTTTAACTAATTGCTACTAATACTTTTTTGTAACTAATTGCATATCTTCTTCAACTTTCTGTAATTAATTATTGATTTGAGAACTTTATAATGTAATAAGTTTAAGTATACCTTATGTAGTTGTTTTTTTTTGGTGATAAATTAACGGAGCGACATATTCATATTGTGAATAAGCTCATTAATAAAGAATTTAAAAAAAACCACTCCGTCTATTGGAGAAAACCGCACGAAAATCCGTTCAGTTGTTTTTGAGTTTATAATACAGACAGACGCGGCGGGGGACTTTTTTAATATAAAGTGATTTAATATTATATCAAATTCATCACTACATCACAAAATGCTTCGTAATAAATCTAAATAAATCAATATTAATCTCAAGATAGTATAGATAACTTGAAGTCAGCTTTTAATTCTTATTAAAAATCACCCTTTTAAAGAACTAAGGAATATCATGATCTTACGGTTAATCTCAATAGTTACATTAAACTTCACCACCTACTTTGCTACCCTTTTGGGGTTGGAATTTTTTCTGCAGTTCATATAGCACACCTACTGAATTTAATAAAAAAAGCTATCATTCAAATCGGTTATCAATTGACTAAGATATCACTTAACATGCATGCAAAACACATACAGTTGACTTGTATACCACCTCCTATTTAGGAATCGTTTAAAAATCTTCCCTAAAAAGAAGGAGTCACATGTCCAGCAGTAGACTTCTACGAAAGAATAGAATATAAGAAATATAAACACCTAAATTTCAGCAATTTCAAGGATATCCTTACGTCACCATTACATATTTATATACGTCAACACTATAATATATTCGAGTGCTCTATGTGTGGAGTGTATATATTTGCTTTACATTTATTAGTCAAATATAAAATAACTTTTGAGTAAATTGAGTATCAGTGTTTGTGCCACGTGTAACATTATTTCGTATTTATGTTTAGCCCTTCAAACTTTGTACAAACACAAACATAAACATAAGAGATAAATTGTTGCCCCAGGCCAACGAAACTATGTTAAAACAAAAGCAAACGCTGCTGGGGTAATTTTGAAATGTTAATTTAATATTATTAATTTTGTAGTCTTGCCATGTGATGGTGACGTAAGAGATGACATCACCATATTTCATCCCGAAGGTGTTCTCTAAGGTTAAATATGTTATGGCTTCCGATAGATTGCGGTGTACTATTTATTTACGGTCTTACTTAAAATATGACGTGACGGTGCGCAGCATCTAGGGT